TCTCTCTTTAAATGTTACATAGAGATATTATGTATGTATGTGTGTATTCACGCGTTCCACTCGCGTCTTGTCAGTGTAATATACATATGTACATACACATACACATACATATATATACGTATGATATGTGTACATACATATAGAATGCACGCTGCGTCAAGACAGAGGAAAAAAGTAGTGAGTTTTAAAAGAAACATATACGCAAAACACTACGGCGTGTATAAATATATATACATATATACATACACACACGCACACATATATATCACATGTATGTAGTGTACACATGTATATATGTGTATGTATAAGAATCCCATAAAGAATCCGTACGGTAACTTGGTAAAACCTCGCGTTAAGTTTGTAGGCTCGAAATACTTTTAAAAATTGTCTTAACACCTTCCTGGCCGAACATCTACAATCCTGGCTGCTCTATATACGAATCTTCGACCTACTGATTACACTTGATTAAAACTGTTCAAGTTTCAGTAACTCAATACTTGCATGTCCCAGAAACATGATATATCTACCACACTGCAACGGAATCAACGCTTTACGGTCTGCTTGGACGATACTTAATTAATTATAAGTAACTACGATTACTCGGTACACGACGAGAAGTAATTCAATCGATACATATCCAACATCCGTTGGAGCTCTTCAAACGAAAGCGACTAATTACATTTTTGTCTCTGATCGATGTGCATATAATGGAAATAAAGGAAACGGCAGGACTTCAAATTGAATGACCGTAAAGCGTTCGTAAATGAATATTCGAAGTCCACGCGGTTTTTACAGACAGTTCACCACGGCGAGAGCGACAAACTGATCGGGAGAGGTGTTAAGACGCTTTGTGAATCAGATGAACAGAATAACTGCGTGTCCTCTTGGGTCCGTTTCGTTCCCGATGTTCCCGCGAAACGATGATACCGCAGGGGAGTCAACGATGAGATATCATTCCAACGATATACTGGTTCGCCGCCGTGTGTCCTTGTCTTGATTGTTCCTTTCCCCGTTCCGCTCAAAAATCCTCTCCTCTCATTTCTCTCTCTCTCTTTCTCTCGCCGAGCGCTACAGTAGGTTTTAATGTCTCGAGCGATGCGAGGAGTCTCCACGTTCGTCGCGGCGATCTCTTTCTCGTTCACGTTCCCGTTCACGCTCCGGTTCTCGTTCTCTCTCCGATGGTCTGCGGCTTGATTCTCGTTCTCGATCTCTGTCTCGTTCACGTTCTCTGTAGCGATCGTCATAATACCTACACAAGTCACGTCAGCCAATTATCTTACTTTAGCGGTGTACCAATTTTTTTCTTTAGTTTTTTTTATTATTTTTTTTCTAATTTTTTTTTCTTTTCTTTTGGTAAATGTTCTCTAATGTACTTTCTCCTATCTTTACGCTACCTTCCCGTTCTGTTACACATTGCTCTCTGTACACATATCTGATTGAATAAACGTACTCTCTCCACACTATGTGCTGGTCTGATCATTTTAATTGGAATATATCAAGGAACTGCAGAAAGTAATTACGCTACGTTGGAGAATTGGAGATACTACACCCTTGGCAGAAAGTAAGGTAATTGTGAGAGATAACGTGATTGTTGGAAATGGAGAATATTTAGTGTCAATTAAAGAAAGAATTGTATTCCATTTGTTGGTTTGCTAGATATAAAATGATGCAGTGCTCACTGATTCGCGACAGTTATATGAAATTTGACATGAATAGAGTTCTATCAATATATTATTCTCAAGTTACAGTTTACCCTTATTAAACGTTATGCATCTTGTAAAGGAAGAAAGATGTATATTTGAAAATTTTACTGGAACAACGAACAGTTCATTCTACTTTGTCTCTGTTAGTGCAACATTTTTTTACATCCAGCACGCGAATTACTCCTATTACAATAATAGCTTTTCATTGATCGTATACTTTTTGCCAGGGGCAGTGCACTGAATTTCAATTTCTTGCAATGGAAGATACAACTATGATGATAATAATACATTAAAAGTTTCGAGCAAAAGCGTATGATGCCAACAGTGACTCGAATAACAGAATTTAACAAAAGAAATTTGCTCGATCGATTGAACTCGTTTGTACCATTACATTACAATTCGTCTTTATCATTGTAATAGTAGTAATTAGCTATTTGAACACTGAACTTCTTGCTTTTCTCTTCCTGCTTCCCTAAGGTTCATTCACAACGAAACGAATTGCTCGAAAATGAAATGCTTACTAGGATTTCTTGTGCACAAAGTGACTCTGTTTTCATTCTTTTATTTTTTTCTCTCTACTGTTTTTCATTGCATCGAACAAAATAGAACTTTTCGGGAGATCTACATGCATTCACTTTTAATGGAAAAAAAAGTATAAATTACCTAGACGCCTTGGAAGACGAGACGGGAGCCGTCTCTGGCGGTTCTTCTTTTACTCTTGGCCTGGCTGACTGACGTGTCGTACTAATGGAAAATGCATACTTCGTTATGGACTTATACTGTTACCAGGCTTAGTACGTTGCTTTAGTTAAAACAAGAAAATATTTCAGTTCGGTTTGTCTTAATTTACGATTGACCGCATAACTTTACTAAACCTTAATAGAACTCCGATGTTACTTTCTCGCTTAAAGCTTACGTTAACGTTCAAAATGTTTTACGTGTACCAGTGGCGTTAACTAATATAGAGACGTACACGTTAACGGCTTAATGTCGCACTAATTAATATAAAATACAATTAGTGGACTCGAGAGCCACCTTAGACTTGGAACTATACTCGTACAACAATGATGAAATTCGTATGGTTTCAGGTCCAAGGTTATCTCTCATTGTTGTAAAATGTTTACACATGACATAAGAACATTATCTTCATGATTAATAGATAACGATGCACTACATTACTGTATAAATTGGATAAGTAATACTTTAATGTGCAAATAATAAAATGTAGGATAATTCCCTAGATTCTAGTCTGTACAATTGAAAAAAGAAATCATTTCTGTGGATATCCTCACCAAATAGTAATTACATATTATTATAGTAAGTAAGAATTAAATTACAATATTAATTCCATTTGACAATATTCGTAGAACATACATTGTCGATTCGTTAACGTACAAGAATTAATCGTTAATTTATGAACTGCAGTTAGAATTATCAGCAGTCGCTGTTATGTGAAGTAAAATTTTTAAAAATAACATTTGAAACTATATATATATATATATATATATATATATATGTATTGCACGTAGAATAAGAATAGTATTGAATAGTTCATAAATTACGTAATTAACTCTTATTATATTGCAAGTACAATCATTAATCACCACCGTGAATGTTCTCACTAAAGTATATTGCGAACAGTAATTGATAATTATAATGTATTCCAGAGAATGTTACGTAATATATTCATTCGTATATTAAAAAATTATATGCTCACATGGTTCTCGTATATTAAACGAATTCTAATCTTGTCAAAAAAATTAGAATTACACAGGAGGAAACAAAAGGGAAAAATAACACTGTTATCCAGTATTGATTTATCTTAAGGCAGAAGCTACAATTTGTTTGAACTCACGGTTCCTCGATTAAATAAGTTTTTAAAACGCACCAGGAAGACTATGTTACACAGCTTCGACCTTTAACTTTTTATTGATGCAAATCAATGTAATTCAAAGAACATTTTGAGATATTAAGTGCACTCACATACACATTTCAGATACTATAATGTAACGTATTCGTTTCTTTCTCAGATATACAGTATAAAATAGAGACTCATCCCTTTAATCGATCAAAGTGAGTTGTAATTTTCCAACCTTTTGCCTGATCTGTGTGTTTCAATTATGAAGATTTTTTCTACGTATCAAAGCAATTGCTTTTTGTCATTTAAACGTCCAAAACAGTTTGGTTCACTTATACTGAATATTTCTGGGTAATAAACGAATTGATTAAAATTAAAATCTTATCCTTTAGTCCATAGTAAAATTTTGAACGATTTACCATAAAATTTACAATTCGCAAAGTAAACTCTTACTCCAGCTGTACAGTTCTAGTTACATCGTTATAATTATTATTATATATCTTTCTAGAACGGTGTATCATGTAAAAGCTGAGATCGCAGTACCATTATAACTTTATGACTTTAGCGAGTACTGTAAAAAACCACTTTTCCTTTGTTATTGACTAAAATGTTAAGTATCTAAAGAATCATTTATGATTGTTTGTATCAATATTCACTAAATGACATTGAAAAAGGGAATTAGAAAAATTTTGTTACTTTAAAACAAATATAAAAAGATCTATTCCGACTCGTTCGTTCTTATTGGAAATAATAGATCATAAATTTGTCCCTGAATTAATCAGCACTCACTGCACACTTTCTAAATTTACAAGATAGAATATTTATCTTTGAATTAATCCTTCGTATGCAGTGAAACCTATGCAGACACATTTAAATAACTGCTGAACACGTGTGTATTGCAAAATATTATAATACTGTACAAGTGCAGTGCACAAAGATTAATATTAGAACTGTAACAGCAATGTTAAATTTCAATGTTCGTATTTTATCCGAATGATAATAACGCAAAGCACTTAAACCTCAATATTAGACTGACAGACTGTGAATAACGTCGACTTTTCGTGTCTACCGTCACAAAAAGGTAAATATTGATTAACTGTTTTACACAATGTTTCCAATGAAATATGAAATCAGCGACATAAGTAGACATTACCAAGCAATTTGATACTTACTTAATGAACACATTAATTGCTATCTTATATATCAGGTAGCATTACAACCCTTGTTCTTACATCAGGTATAAAAATGACCACAATTTAGAAGGTCGACTTCTAATGATTGGAATAAGACCGTATTAATTTAACGCGTACGCATTAATCGTGAGATTTACGAGGATATTAAAAGTAGAAAGTACGGTTATATAATAAATTACTATTCAAAGTTGAATGCACGTGGCCGTTTTTAAACATTTTCTTATTTTTTTCTCTTTAAAAGATTGATTCAGTACATTTATAATTTAAAAATATTAAATAGCAATTAATATGTTGAATTCTATTCATTTAACCCTGTTACTGTTTCAACGTGGAGTAATTACTTTTATTTCATTTCAATGAACACATTAACAATAACCGTCGAAATTGCTGTAAAGCGTAATTACTTGTCTCCTTTGAATTATGCCACAGTGAAAGGGTTAATTCGTTTGATATAATTTTAAATTCTATCATATACTGAATCATAACTTATGGATGTCTTATAAATTACCTCGACGAATCTATATGAAAATTATCTACGATCCTTGATCTATTATATCTCGTGTGTCTGTTTTAAATAATTTAACGGTACAGATGGTTACAGAGTTACGATGAATGGTGACGAACAATTATCCTAACATTCGATGATGACAAAATTACGATTTCTCTTTCTAACTAAATTCCCTAGATATATAGACATCATCAATTGTTTAACAATAGATTCCGGTTCGTAAATGTTCGCGTAATAAAATAATGCATTCTTCTCAAACTATCGCCCATTCGCCTATCGTTTATTACTTAATTCACTTGAATCTTCGCTAGAAAACTGAATCCATTTGTCGTTACATTAAAAATCACCAACCATTCGATTGAAAAGAATTTCTCTTAGTGAATTTTATACGATGATACCTGTTACGAGCACGTTTTTCACGTGACACGAACGACAAAGCTTATTTACGTTCGAACGGGTACACATCGGTTGGAATTCGATTTTTGCGACACGCGAGAGGACTTTCATCATTGCGTTTGTATAAATTGAATATACAGAAAAGTTCGTTACAACGTGGACTATTATTTGCGAACATAAATTCCGTCTGGCGGCAAGGTGACACACATACGCGGGCGACAACGTTTATTATTTTGATCATTCAAGTCGACTGTCGGTAAAACCTCGATTGAGTTCAATATGACAAGTCATGTTCAGTTGTCACAGTTTAAAATAATTATGTGAGATGATGGTTGAGCTTACCTTTCTTCTCTGCTTCGCTCTCTATACTCGCGATCTCTTTCACGTTCACGTTCCCTCTCCCTGCTTCGTGATCTCTCCCGTGGATATGGTTCACTGTAATAACGTTCCCTGTCACGATCACGATCTCTTTCCCTCTCACGATCGCGTTCTCTGTCGCGCTCTCTGTCCCTATCCCTGCTTCTCTCTCTGTACTCTCTGTCACGGCTTCTTGATCGTTCGCGCCTCCTCCTGTGACTGCGTTCTCTATCGCGCGAACGTGATCGTTCTGGAAGTACCAATACATTACTGAAATACCTTGCGACACTGCGGTCAAAATGCTAGTACAGTACTGCTCCTTCAGATGTAACAGATTAAACGATCGAAAATAATGATGGAGAAGTATAAAGCGAGAACGAAAGCGTCACTTTTAACACAACAATTATTCTAGCGTTATGCAAGATAAGCTTTTCAACCCTTCGAGTGCTGTGGCGCATTGTATGCGTCCAGCGAAAGCTATCTACGTGGAGTACACGTGCCATGATGACAATTACAAGTGTAAGACCTTAATATATGTTTCTTTCAATAAATCTAAAGAAAATATTAGAAAAATGAAACTGAAACGAGTCACTGAGTTCCTAAATATAAGGTCGTAGTCTATAATTTCTAAGGACAATATAGGATTAATTTCATTTTCATTGCTTCAATTACTTTCAGCTGGGAGTACTCAACGCTCGAAGGGTTAAGTGAAAATTTATATTAAGTTTACCTCTTCGCGCGGAGCCGTAGCTCTTGGTTTCAACACCGCGTAAAGTATCTTGTAGAGAACTGATCAGAATTTTGCATCTGTCGTCTGCAGCGACCTTGGATTGCTTTATCAAGGAAATGGCTGTAACCAAGGTTTCTATGGCGCTCGCGTATTCTCCTGCCGCAGCGTCTGACACTGCTCGAGCAATGGCAGAGGAAGAAACTGTTCTATTTCGACTCATAATCTCTTCGAATTCTTGTTCTGTGAGTGGAGGAGGTCCTTCTGGGCGATGATCGGGTCCCGGTGCACCGTAGGGTGGCTGTAAGAGTTTGCCAAGTGGTCAGACTTCTTTCTGGTATGTATTAGAATAAATGATGGAAATGTCTACTCTGATTAACCTTTTCGCTACGGCGACTTTACTCGTGAACGTGCTATTGTAATTTATTAATTCCTTATTCTAGTCGCGTTACGTGTGATCATTAAATATAATACAGTAATGTACAATACCTAAAACAAGGCATCAGGCATCGGGTGACTATAGACACCACTAGTAACGAAAAGGTTACAAGTAAAGATAAATAAATTTATTATAAGAAGTGTTCAAAATTTCCAAGTGTAAGCCGCGTCCATTAGAAACGATTTCCCGACGTTTCGCTAGGTTATTGGTTAGCCAGTGTCAGTGATTTCTATTTGATCAGCTGACCAATTAGAAACACCGGTAATGGACACGGTTCACAACCGGTGACTTTGAACATTCCTCATAGCATTCCTAGTCGTGAAAGCCTCAAACGGATCGTAAATTTATTATACTTGTGTCGCAGGTGGTCCATAACCGTGCGGTGGCACATGAGGAGGCCCATGAGGCTGACCATGAGGAGGTCCGTGAGGAGGACCATGGGGAGGACCATGAGGTGGACCGTGTGGTGGTCCATGAGGTGGACCTGGAGGACCTGGTGGATGTTGTCCCGGATGTTGATGAGGCGGTCCTTGCGGGAAGAATGCTGGATTAACGTGCGGCGCTGGTCCTCCCGGAGGTCCTTGCGGTGGTCCTTGAGGCGGTCCTCCGTGTCCGGGCGGGGGTCCTCCTGGACCTGGCAACATTCCTGATCAATATCTATGTTAGCATGCAACACTGCATACAGTAAGCTTGCAGGATATCACTGCGACTTGCATACATTATTAATGTATTCGATAAGCTGTATGCTCTCCTACTTAAGAATATACTTGCATAACACTGTTCTACATATAGTCTCCAGAAAGAAATTTCAACCTTTTTTCAGATTTCAATGTTCGTGATAACGACATAAAAAATAAATGTATTTTTCATGTTATTTTCATCTGAAACACCTTGTACCATCATACGCCTAAGCATAAAATTTCCCTCAATATCATGCATTATCACATAAAAGGTAAATAATAGCGTTGATAACATTCAATGAACGTCCTAAATTTCTCACCACCCATAGAACCTGGAGGAGGTCCTCTCTGTGGTGGGCCTTGACCAGGTTGCGGGCCTTGCATATGTTGATGTTGAGGGAAACCTGGTGGTCCCTGAGGCCCGTGATGCATTCCTATGCACATTGAATAATATATCAGTGAACTTCTTTTACAACAACATGATTACATAGTGCGCTGTGTTACTTAAAGTGGTTTACTTAAAGTTCATTGTGTTACGCTTCACATTCGTTCCGCATCATAAATCTGACGCTTCATAATATATTTCACAATGTAACTCTGTCACACAATTATTCTATCATGCAAATTATAAATTGTAGAACAAAAGGAATTGAACGTAATAGTGTAAGGGAAACAGAGTATTCGTGTTCAAGATGTTTCAGTACAACGTTTATTAAAAATTCCGACAGGATTCACGTACCTGGTGGTCTATTCCATTCTGGACGTGGTTGGGCACCTCTCGGATCACCCGGAGGTCCACCAGGATGACCAGGTGGACCACGTGGAGGCCCCTGACCGGGTGGACCAGGTGGACCACCATGAAACTGCTAAATAGATATAACCGAAAATTATAATTCAATGTTCTGTCATCCGATTATGAATCATTTTCTATATTCGAAAGTAGTAGTAGGAACTTGATCTATAATGAGTAATACTTAACAGTTAGAATGTTATTGGTGTAAGAAGATACTTGAAATTTCTTTTTATAAATTTAAGTATCAGTAATAACTGAAGAAGGACCTTACTACTAGATCTAATATTAGATATCAGAGCCAGTCGTTAATTCATTAAATACTTTTTACTGATGCATATTTAAGGTAATAAACGCTTGAATTGAAAGAAAATAATTTTATGTATAGGCTTTTCATGTTATACGTATCTCATACACTGTAGCCATTATAAAGTTCAGAACAAATATTGGAACATGGTAAATATGTATACAATGTCATGTTCAATTCGTAACTATCATCTATAAAACTTTTTATACCTAAAGAGGAAAGGCAACAAATAATTTTCAATAAAAATTGCAACATAAGATTTTAATTAAAAAAAAATCTTTTTTTAAAAGTAGACATAATTTAAGTTCTTCCCCAAGTGATGCATTATTCATCTCTTTAATATATTATTTTTCTGTTCTTCTAGGTGCAAACATTGAATGATTCACGGAATGGATAACCTTTACAACATGAAAAGCAGAAAAAACATCACACTGTGTTACCTGTGGCATATGGTAACTGGTTTCTGAAAGGTCTCTAGTGCAACTCTGTTTACGCGAAGCGTAAGACATGTAAGTGCAAAAAATATTCTTGTAACTTGTACTATAATCATCCAACTTTAAATAGTATATGTTATAAAAATTTACAAAGACAAAGAAATCTATGTTAATTCCTGTAAAAATTAATGGTGCAAAACAAGTTAAAATCGCTTAATAACACATTGCATGTAAAACAAGTGATTATTAATCAGTTACACGTATAATCATAAACAGTGGTACATGCACAACTGACAGTACATACCATTCCGGGTGGTCGATGTTGGCCAGGACCTGGTCCGGGTGGTCCTTGTTGTGGTGGAGCACCGGGTCCGCTTGGACCTCTAGGCGGTCCAGGTGGACCATTTGGTCTTGGACCGTTCCAAGGTCCCTGTTGATATCCAGGAGGAGGTGGTGGACCCTGGTTCGGATGTCCAGGTAAAGGATGATGCGGTCCAGGTCCAGGTCCCATGGGTGGACCATGTATACGTGGTGGGCCTTGTTGGCCAGGTCCACCTGGACCTGGCGGACCCATACCTGGTGGTGGCATTCTCTGTGGTCTCACACCCTGCGGAGGACCCATCATCATCCTAGGACCATGATTTTGTTGTGAATGTTGAGGGTGTTGGGGATGCTGTGGATGCTGTTGATGAGGCGGCATTGGTGGTTGATGTTGATGCGGATTATGGGGACGCTGACTTTGACTTTGCTGAGGAGCCGGAGCCGGACGTGTCTTGCACTGAGACTCGAACTGAGAACATACACAAATTCATTTATTACGCTAGAACCAAAATTATCTTTTGATTTTATTTTCTTAAACTGTTTTTTTTAAATATAATATACTTTTTTTTTTAGATATAAACTTACTTGATTCAAGGCTTGTTTGGTAGGAAATGTTACTACTGGATTTTGTCCATGTAATTCTTTCTTGGGTAATCTTTCCATGCATATTCTCATACTTTGTTCTGAACCCAGAGAAATCACGCAGAAGCCTTTGGATTGTCCGTTTGCTCGATTTTCGAAGAATTTTACTTCCACAAAGTCAGATACTCCAATACTTTGTACTGCATCAGTTATATCTTGATCACTTGTCCACTGATACATATGATAAACTTTCAGTTAGTAATGGAAACCTTCAAGCATAAAAATAAATTATTTTCAAATTACATACCCAAGTTAAATTTCCAACATATAATTGGTGACGTCTTCCAATTTGGTTTGGTTGAATGTTATTCCCGAGTTGATGATACGGGGCACTGCCATTTGTTTCTTCCTTTGGTGATGTACTGTCACCTCCACCATCTCCGCTATTGCCTGTAGAAACGCCACCATTACCACCAGCGGGAGCTGCTATCACGTCATCATATAAATCAACGCCATCACCAGCAAACTCATCCTATAAGAATTTATTAAGCATACAATCATCAAAAATTAATACAACATAATAATCGTAATATCAATTTTATATCAATATTAAAGTAAACTATTCAGTACCTTAATCTGCTAACCAGAAAAAACTGAATTTGCTTCTACAAAGATTTACATTCAATCATATAATTATATCTATATTAACATAACTTGCATCGTACGTGCACTTATTGATAAACAAGATTTTATTCATGTTTATTAATAAACGCGTATGTCCTCAAGATAATAAAAATTACACAGTTAACAGATTAACAAGCACGTAAAGTATGTAAAAAGACAAATTATGTGTATAAAAAATTGTTGGTGATAAGAATTTCTACAAATGAACCACATGATGTAACTATCATACATAACTAAGAGGAAAATCGTCTGAACAAAAATGATCGACAGACAAATTTACACACTACATCCATAAACTACAAGTTTTTCGAAATACGATTCCAAGCATTAGACGCCAAATTACATGCAAATAAAATACTATCTTTATCGCAGCATGGAAAATGAACGGGTAAAAATCAGTCTACCATGAAACATTTTTATTCCAAATTTCGGCCGATCTAATTAATTATTTATATCGCCCATAACCATCGCGTATTATCGGAAATATTTGAAATATCTCACAAGATATCGAATCCCGTGCTCTAAATCATTACCAGCAACATTTTTCAATCAAGAATCCATAATCTCTAACAACTGCGAGGGGACTGCAACGTTCGAGTTTCCATGTTACATATTCCCGACACATATTTTACTTGCATTCGCCTTGGCGTCCGTTGTCTGTAACACTATTTCGAATTCCAGCCAAGTTCATACGAATGTACAGAAAAATGATTTCGAGTGAAAAGAAATCTTTGATAAAGCTACGTATCGTTGAACGAAGCGGAAGAGAAACACTACTGCACGACATTCGCCTTACCGCTAACACCATTTTGCTTTGCTCGCTGTGTATCTGTATTACAACACCGAGAGACGTGATACGCGCACGACGTTACATACACTAATCGTATAACGGAATATTCGAAAACGTTCGTTAATCGCGATGATCGGACGCGGCGGCTAATCGCCCCGACAGAAAAGCACGAAATCGAGAACCGATGTTCCGACCGAATGATGCACGGGCACCGCTCGCGGGCAATCGTTACAGTCTATCCTCCATGACGCCGGATACCCCGCTCTACTATCTCGGCGTTTTTCTCACAGTTCAGATTTTTCGCGTAACCGGCCGATCCACGATTACGCGTACCAATCGCGTGTTTGTTTATTAACAATGAGAAAATCGAATTACCTGCGCGAAATCTTGCTCGAGATCGTCGGCGTACAAATCAATGTCACCGTCCGCCATTTTACGTACACCGACGCTCACTGCATTTGACGAAGCCGCCAAGCCTAAAGGGCTGACGGTCTTGTATATAGAAGAAAACGTGTTAGCGAATTACGTTACGTTTCTACTACTGAACGGACATGACGTCACTGCGCCATCTTTCTTCTTGTTTCTACGATAAGCGGCGAGAAGAACGCGCGATATCGACAGTACTGCCAACCGGATGAAACGTTGGAACTGAAATTCAAAAAATCGGACGTTGCGTTTCGAAGAAACGAAATAAAAAGATCACAAACGTGAAATTGGTTTGCAGATTTCCAGGAGATTCGAAACGATCGAAAAGGATCGGGATTAAGATATTTAAAAAATTCGATGATTTTCAGGTAATCTAAAGTTTTTCGGACGAGCCTAGTATCAAACAGAAATTCGGTGAATCCTCCATGCGAACTGCTTTCATAATTAATACGTTGTTCAATTGCACGAAAAATTAGAAAATTTCTTATATCCTTTGCGTTGCCTCGAGAATATTGGAATTCTTTGTTGAAAAATATGTTCGTGCGTGTCGCGTTGATATTTGTTACTCGATAATCAGGGTTAATTGTGTTCTATTTGAAAAAAAATTGTTGAAAAATGATAGGGAATTTTCGAATCGGAGGATAGCAGCACTTCCTGCGAGCAGAAAAGGATAGAAAACGAACGAATTTCGGGTCGTGCGATTTACTACACGAAACTACCGATACAACGGCCGGTTCGTTGTTCGCACTGAGGTTCCTCTCATCCTTTATAATCAGCTTCGAATTCGAAAGGTACGTTTTGCATTTGATATTAATGGCCTTGTGTTTTCATTGAAACCGTTTCGAGTAACGCTTTCATTTAAAGATGATTATATTTTGACTTTTTTATGGGTTTCCACGCATTTATAACCCCGAAAAGTCGTTGCTTTTTTTCATCTGTCCCATGTGCACGCACTTTTTATGCCTTCGAAGATATTGAACCAAAGCAACAGTGTTTCCCATCTTCGCAGCTTTTTTTTCTATAGAATTAATAACAAAGAAAGGGACCCGTCGTGAGTATATCGAAAGTAACGCCGTTTTATTAACCGAATAATCCGAAAGATTCATAAGTATCTAGAGTTCTTTCCACGTTCCCTGCATGCTCTTGACGAATAACCTTTCTTCCCCTCAAATATGGTGACTTTCAAATGTCAGTTTAATGTCGCGCAAAAATTGAAACGTGTTCACCGAATTTCTGGGAAAATATGATTTTTCCCTTCCGGCGAGACGATTATTTGATTTTACACGCGTGCATGATACCGAAATTCAAAGATGTTCGTGATGCACGCTAGAATAGAAGATGAAATCGCAACGTGCAACAGGATTCCGACACACTTGCCGAATTACTTCGTTGTATCTCATGGCTTGGTTCTCGTTCAAAATTACCGTTTAATTTTTCTCGTATTTTTCATGATTTTTTTTCTACACGTATACTCGTACATTTAGCCGTTTCGTTCTGTAAATTCTTTTGCCACGTTTTTTTCACTTCGTCTGTTCCAATGGAGATTTTATTATCATATTTCTATTACAATTGAATTTGGAAGCTTTATTATAGTTTAATTTGTTAAAAAGAAAATTAATTTTATTTTTATAATTTATTGCATAATATAATATTTGATAGTTAAAATAATTATATTGAGATCCCTTGAAATGAGAGAATTTAATTCAAATAAAAATATTAAATCATTCAATGTAATTTAAACGAATTGTAGATGCTAAGATTCATTTATGTAATATAAGAAAATTATGCAGATATTGTACAAACTATGTTGAGTACAGCAATACGCATATTTAATAGTTTCAACTTTTTATTTTATATTATCCATTGAATTCCTATAATTTCATCAGAATTCTTGGAGATTTTACTGGAATGTATCTACTTTAATTTTGTATTATCGATGATAGTGAAAGAATTTTATTTTTTTCTTTTGTTGCTCTTAAATAGTTTTTTTTTGTAAAAGCAAACGAATCTGGATTGTAGTACTATGACAACTGATACAAAACGCGCCGGTGATAACAGTGATATGGAATCTGTTGAAGATGAAGATGATAATGAGACTACAGAGATTCCCCCCCTCTTGCTAGCTGCACTGCGAGGTCGTATTTCTACAACAGGGATAGAGGTATTCGAATATCATGTGAATTATAAACACTTCTTTATAATAGAAAGATGGAAAGATTCAATTTCTATGTTCCAACCAAATGAAACCATTAAAATCTTTATATAATTTTATATTCTTTAACAAATTGTATTTTACAAATTATATTGCTCTACACTATTGATACATCTTTAAAAACAAAGCATCCTAAACCATTTGGGTATTGACTATTAAAATTATTATTGAGAGATTCCATATACATTTAATTAAAAAATATCATTAGGTATAATTTTATCATTCACTTAATTTAGTTAACATAATTTGCTGTGTTATCTATCATTTTGAATCATTTTTTTCATTATTGCATACTCGTCATATTTTTATTTAGCTATTAGTATCTTGCACTGCATTAGATTAGTATGCAATTACTGAAATTATCAATGCATTAAATGTTGCTTAATGAATAAAAATGAAGAAAGTAGGTGTTTGAAATTATTATTTAAGCCATAGGAAGAATTTATTGTTCTTAAGTATTATTATTATTACTACTACTACTACTACTACTACTATTATTATTATTATTATTATTATTATTATTATTATTATTATTATTATTATTATTATTATTATTATTATTATTATTATTATTATTATTATTATTATTATTACCATTGTCGTCGTTATAATTATTGTTATTATTATTATTATGTGTAGTACTTTAACCGTTTTGAATTCAGCTTTTGTTTCTGCTTAGGTTTAGATTTTCTGATTTTGAGTATTAAGTAGACATAAACTAACACAGTTAATAATATCAAATAATATCAGTAATATAAAAAGAACTATGTTACAAGTTAAAATACAATGCTTTTGCATTGAATAAAGAACAGTTCTATTCGATTGTACGAAGATCATATTTTATCTAATACTTTTAATTTTTAGCAAATGCAGTCTCTCCCAGCACCTGTAAAGCGCAGAATCAAAGCTCTAAAAAAGTTGCAACTTCTCACTACAAATATTGAAGCGAAATTCTATGAGGAGGTACATGCTTTGGAATGTGCTTATCACAAAATGTGCATGCCTCTTTACGAAATGAGGCAAGATATAATATCAGGTATTTCCGAACCAACGGATGAACAGTGTGATTGGGAAAGTGGTGATGAAGAGGAAGGATTAAGTAATGATCTGAAAGCGAAAGCGAATCTTGAAGATGATAAAGAACAGAAAAAAGAAGAGTATGCTTCTCTTATATTTTATTAAGTGTTACATTCGTTTCACCGTTTCTTTAATTTCTTTTTAACAGTTTTCATTTAAGTTTATCACTGCATATACTCGCTCTTCATCTAATTCATTCAGTTATCCTTCATAAAGAATAAGTACTTCAACAACATCTTTAAAGAATACATAATATAATTTATTGTGAATACCGCTAAAGGGATTTTATCATTTTAGAAGCGAAAAAGAAGACGTTAAAGGCATCCCCGAGTTCTGGTTGACAATATTTAAAAATGTTGGACCATTAGCTGATATGGTTCAAGAACACGATGAACCAATATTGAAACATTTGTATGATATTAAAGTGAAATTCTTTGAATCTAATCCGATGGTAAGTTGCACACCGAAAGAAGAGAAGTATCAAAATAATAAAATTGCCAGATAACGCGTATACAATGCAATAAAAAAATGTATTACATCGGAGGATAATAAGCTTTTTTATAGGGTTTTGTTCTTGAATTCTATTTCGAACCAAATGAATATTTCACCAACACCACTTTAACAAAAGAATATATTATGAAATGTACTCCTGACGAAAATGATCCGTTTAGCTTTGAAGGTCCCGAAATATACAAGTGCAAGGTAAGTATTTTGAATATAATTTTCGTTTTCTCACGCTGTGAGTTCATGGAGACGTTTATTGAACACTGTTTCTTTTTTTTGTACAGGGATGCGTAATTAATTGGAAAAAAGGAAAGAACGTTACAGTAAAAACAATTAAAAAGAATCAGAAACATAAATCTCGAGGGTCCATACGAACTGTAACGAAAACTGTTGAGAATGATTCATTCTTTAGCTTTTTCAGTCCACCAGTTGGTATGGGCAAATCCTGCTGTTTCCTTTTCTGTATCTGTATTCTGTATCTGTATAATTCATTGTTGCTCTTTTAGTGCCAGATGATCCGGAAGCAGAATTAGATGAGAAAACACAAGCTCTATTGGCAAGTGATTTTGAAATTGGCCATTATATTAGAGAACGTATAGTTCCTAGAGCTGTATTATATTATACAGGTACCTTCTACTTTGAAAATCAAACTTCATGTACAGCTTATCCGAAAAGTAAAAAAGAATTATTGAGTCTAACGACGAAAACTTTTATCTTATCTCAGGAGAGGCCTTGGAAGATGAAGATGAAGACTACGAGGAGGAGGAGGAGGGTGACGAGGATGATCCAGATGAGGAGAACGAAGATGACGAGGAGTTCTCAATAACTAATGCCCCATCAGGTGGGAAACGACAAGGCAATG